ACTCGTTAAGATCCGCCACCTGTAACTGGGTTGTATCGCGAATGATACTGAAGTCATCATGTAGTACGCAGATATTATATTGCAAAAGAAAATTATTCGAATAATGAAAAAATGTCATCCCTGCAAGCCTCTCTTCATTGAGCTTGGAATCTTACCATTGCCTTGCCTATTTATTTACGAATCTGTAATATTTGTCAAAACTGGCGTACTTAACGGTGGACACATATTTTAATCCAATACTCATATTTATAATTACAACACACGTCGTAGAAATCACGTTCATCGAGTGTCTGTATCAACAGGTCACTATCAGAAATCCACATACAATACATGTACCTTACTTTGCAACTCATTGCGAGATGACATCAGACAATTGAAGTCTGTACACGAATTTACGTTTAAAGTAGAATCTTTGCTGCAGCATAACTGTTTCTATACAGTTACAGACAATACTGGTCATCAAAAAGAAAAATAATGTTTATTTTAACGAAACTAATTTATGTAATGAATTAGTTTACATCTGTATTGTTTTTTTAAACACTTAATATGCTTGTAACAAATAATGTACTACAGCTTCTGGGTCAATGACTCCCATCTCGATCAGGTTTTTGTACAGTTTCCCTGATCCATTGAGCAAATGCTGAGATGGCCCTTTGTTTTGATTCTGGGCGTAATATAGCTTCACTGTGCACACGTTGTGTTGAACTCTCCTTTTGCTTGTAACGATAGAAGAAGAAGTACGAGTTACTATTTTGTTAGCAATGCTAAAAAATTACACTGCGGCTGTTGATTTCTTCCTTCAAAATGTAGCATCCTTTACAAAATTCTACATTTTCCTCTTCAGTAGTTTGATGCGTCACGTGGAGGTAATTTCCTACCCAGAAGTAGCACATTTATGAGCTTTTGTGTCTGTAACGTTTTATAAATAGTACAAACCAGTCATCTTTCCTTATCGTAATACGAACAGAAGGTATCATTATTTTAAATATTCAGAAATAGCAAGTTGAAAAAATGACAAGCAAGAATTATAAATGCAGACCTTTTATAATTCTGTGAAACCTACTTAAAATATTTCATTACTGGTCTGAGTATTCTTTCTGCAAGGATTTTGTTTTTCGTTGTGAAAGATGCCAATGAAAGGTTAAGCAAGAAACTTGCAAACATGTAAAGCAAGTCGAGTCCCATTAAGGAACGACAAAGAGCCTCGATTCTTCATATTAACGGGCTATGTTAGCATTAGAACTACACCGAGCTGCGATTCATGAAAATAACAGCTTGGCAGTGTAATGTAACGATTTTCATCTCAAAAATAGTGGCCCCGCATCAAAGCCAGAGAGCCGCCCCGGGTGTCACCAATGACAGAATCGTATAGTTGGAATTATAAAATTATTTATTTAAAAATTATATTTCAATTATTCTGAATTACATACCGTTTTTTATATATTATAAATAAATGTCAAGGTGCAGATGCACTTTTATTTTTATTAAATGATGTATACACTATTCAGTAATACATTTTTTTTATATTTAATTGAGTGGGGCTGATATCATTAGTTTTGCCCCGGATGGCATCACCTGAAGCTTGGCGGATACATATTTTTTTATTGAATTTGCCTTATTTTACGTGGCGAGACTCGGGCCATCAGGCCCGCTCTTCCGTCTGACCACGCAAATTTCGCTACGCTCCTTTCACGAACTAGCGGAGAAAGGAGGTATTTCTTGGACGAGAAACAGGTGATTTGAATTTAGCTCAGAGGCGTCATTTAGGCTTGAGGATCTTTTACATGCAAGTAAAGCTACTAACATGGGACAGCCGGCTTTACTTCCCCTACGAAGGAAGGCGTACGAAGGATTTTTTTGCCCTTAAAAATCCACGGCTTCGATCGGGTTTGAACCCGCTAACTTGAGTACAACAGTCCGATACGCTAACCATTACATCATCTCTGCCGCCACATAATAGCAGCGACCCGGCGGCGTAGCCAGCGAATCTTAAAATGGAATTCTCTCGACGCTTTTTTCCGTTTCTAATACTCTTCTTTACAACCTGTTTTACTTTTCTGCTTCTCTGGCTACCGTTTCGCACTGATACGCCGACTCCGCAGACCCGCAACTGGACCCACACGTAGACCCTGCGTGCCACAAAATTTTCCCCCATCAGCGACATTGCTATTCTCGCGGTCCCTTTTTTATCATTTGGCGTGGCCATTTCTGAACCGCCTCCAGTAAAACACGTGCGTGAACTCCTCTCCTGCTTGGGAGGACTGTGTGCAGACGAGTACTGTGACTTTTGTTTCGCATGCGGCGAGTGTCACAGAAAAGCGTTGCGCGCAGAAGGAATGTACGCTGACAGGTATCCAAAACGACGCGTCCGAATCGCAACCTAATATTGAGGCTCGATCAGGGAATTGTGGCGAGACTTCGTGACTTCAGTCAATGAGCGCTAGCAGACGCGGTCCGCGATCCGCGATCCGCCATCAAACAGCGAGCGCAGTGATTTTCTGACGGCCGGCTGCCGAGGTGGGGGCGTGATCTAATGACTCCGCGCGATACAGGATGCATCCTAATTTTGTCAATTAACAAATTTGCAAGAACAAGTTCTTGATTTTTTTATTGATTATAGTGTATGGTGTATAGGTGTAGTCGCTAATAACCTTGAAGAGACTTTAAATGTTTGTTTGTTTGTTTGTTTGTTTTTCCTTTTATTCTTTTCTTTGGCAATACTTCGAAGTGTGCTTAGCACACAGATTACCAAGAACCTGTGTTGCAGCATAAAAGTGTTTGTTAGCAATATAACATAAAAAGCTTATTGGGGAGAAGACAATGGTGTTTTGTTTTTTCTCTCTCTTTCAATTAGTTTTGAAGATAAGTTTCAAAACAAAAGAGGGGTGTAAAAGTGATTCACCTAGAATATTTGCAAATACTGTTTTGTTTTTTGTCTATAGGAGATAATTTTAAATATAATGTAAATCACTCTGATAAAAAAAACTATGCAAGTCTGTTTCAGCCATTGAATTAACTTATTTCAGAAGTGAAATTGCAATGTGTTATGCATTTTAAAAATATTTTAATTTTATTGTTTTGATAAACTCATAAGTAAATAATTTGTATTTATATGTGTTTATTGCTCTGTTATTGTTTTGTTTATGTTTTGAATTATTCTAACAAGAAATTCCTTTTGTGCTATTAACTTTTTTCTATTGCTTTGGTGGCTTTACTTTTGAAGAAAAGCATGCATTAATATATGTTCTTTGCTGAATATATTTTTTATATAACTACTTATGGGCCTTAATGGTAAATATGATCTGTAGAAATTTTTTGTGCGGTTTCCTTAATATGTTCCTAATTTATTTTTCTGCCTATCCTCAAATTTCTGCAAATCACTTACATCCTCTTGCTTTACTTTGCCCTCACTCTAATGGTTGAAATGTTCATCAACTGTACTTTAGTTACGCTGCTTTGCTATAATATTTTCTTATAATGACAAATTTGAATTTAAATCCACTTTGATAGAACTACACGTGATGCAAAAGAACATAAAGAATCAAATATATGGATTAAAACAGGAAATTTTTAGTGAATATTAAAAAATTCTTAATTAACTCATGCAGCAGATTTTTGAATCATTAAATAAACTACACTTTTCTTTTCTTTCTGTGTGTGTATTTTTATTTTTTTACCTCTTCATTTATCCTTCAGTTCCAGAATATTCTTAAACCACACTGAAAAGGAAATCTGAGTATGCACCAAATACTTTATTAGTATACTGGCATTGAAAATAGGAGAAAACCTTTATTGAAAATTAGAAATCTGCTAAAAATGTCCATTAAATTTATAATTTCTGTTTAGGATATTTCTATTGAAGGGTTTTCATTCTCAATGATTAGGGCAAATTGCTTTAATGCATACAATTTCAACAAAAAAGTGTCATTTTTCATACAAGGGGTGAAAAATGTTTTGTCTGTTGAGGCCACATCCATACAATGTTCTTTTCTAATATTTTTTGTTCAAACTATTTCCTCTTGTAGTTTTATAATAGAAATCGGTGTTCTTTCCAAATCGATAATTGTTCTTAGAATGTATTTTGTCTTAATCAAAATTCATTTGGAACTAATGTTTTCCTTATCTTTATTCTAATATTCTGTAATAAATATTCTCTCCTCAAAAATTGAATACCCACATCCACAAAATTGCTTTATTTCATTATACGAACTATGTGCTGAATATATTATTGCTTTAGTGGATCTCGCTATACTCATTCACATGCTCTCCATTACATTATTTGTTGCACTTCCATTCTACTTTGCATTACAAACACTGTAAAACATTTATTTTCACCAGTGCACATGCTTGCATGTATTGCATTGCATTGCATTGCATTGCGTTATGGCATAATTGTTATACAGTTCCATGCTCCTTAGCTGCTCTGTGCATGAGCATTGTTTGACCCAGAGACTTAAATGCTTGCAGAAATTTAATACAATCTTCAGCTTCCATAAGAATGAATTTTTCACTGTAGTGGGAAATTAAATAATTGCCTTAGAATGAATAATTATCCCTGATGTAATTTTCAGCCCTTTTGTTTTTAACCATGAAGCAATTTAATGTAGCATGCATTTGTATCTTGTTTCAGTTCTGCATATGATTCAGAGTCGCAGCAGAATGTTGCCATTCCAGTAGAGTACGTAGAGCCCCATGTCATTGAGCAGGACTTTTTTTATCTTTGACTTAAATATGTGCCACTCAATTCTGAATGTAAAGACCAAACTGTAAAATATTTGGCCAAATGACTTTCTATAGAATTATTTTAAAGTTATTTTATTTATTTTTGTTTTCTTACAAATAATATATGCATGCATTTCTGATAAACATTTATATTGAAAATGTTATTTAGTGAATTATTACTATAATTGAAACTGATTTTCAGAGATAAATGATATTTGCGGTAGACAAAATTTTCAGAAGTTGTCTAAGACATTCAAAGTAAAAACACTTGTAATCAAATGTATGCATCACAATTTGTGTCTTGTTTCAGTTTTGCACATGACTCAATGATGCAGCAGAACGTTGCCATTCCAGTAGAGTACGTAGAGTGCTATATTGCCTTGCTCTTTTTCAAATAAAAGAACAGTCGCAATTTTCATGTTCTTCTATTCTTTTCTATCATTCTGTCTTCATCTCAGAAAGTCTTTCATAAGTGTGGGTGGCCAAATTCAGGACTTTTCTCTGGAAATTATTGTTAAGCAGATCCCCATGTTCTAGTGTCACACATAATAATTACATAAGTGTTCTTCATTTTTCTAGGTAAATACCATGTCAGTGGGCTTGAAGATGAACATTTTAAAATGCTCTTTTTTGTAAAGCCTCACTCCAAATCTTCCTCTCTTTTAGTTTTACCTTATTTTTCTAATTCTTTCTCTCTCCTGTGTTCTTCTCTTTTTTACTTTTGTAAATTTATATTAGTCTTTTCCTTTTTTTGTTTCTTTTCTTTTCCTCAAAGAATTTTTAGTTAGCAAATTACAATATTAAAGCTTTGTTTCTGTGTCTGCCAGAATTTTTGTTAATACGCTACTGTGAATTTCTATCTTGTTTCAGTGCTGCATATGACTCAATGACGCAGCAAAATGTTGCCATAAAGAAACTCAGCCGTCCCTTCCAGAATGTGACACATGCAAAACGAGCATATCGAGAATTTAAACTTATGAAGCTTGTCAACCATAAAAATGTGAGTGAATGGATGTATTTTTAACTTATAAATGATGTATTTATGAATAGCTACATAATTTAGAATTGTTTATTGACTAATCAAATTTTTCATAATGTAATGTTCCACTTTACTCAGAAGGTGGCTTTTCAAACAATGATTTTTTTGCTAAGTTCATAACGTACACATTAAGTGAATAGAAGTAACATAATCCTGTTGCTATTAGAATAATTAACATTTAGAACGGTAGAAATCTTTCAGGATTGCAAATTTCCTTCTTCCATATTATTTAATATTCATTAAGTCACAGTGTTATTTTTTAAATAGTGTTTATTGGTTTTTAAAGTTTTTGTAATTCTAAATGTACAGTTTCTGCCAGTTAGTATTTATGAGAGGGAAAAAAATTGTAAAAAAAAGCTTTAATTTTACCAAGATAATATAATTGTTTTTATTGTAATGTAGATTACCATAATGTAGTATGGTATACTAAGATATATATTAAGTGATTATGTATAAAAGTGAAATTGCCCATTAAAAAAATAACACTGCTGCCAGTTAACTAGCAGATTTGACCTGCTTCACATCGTAATTCATGACTTACCTTTCAATTTGTAGTGGTCATGATGATGGCTGGCCTTTCTGTTAGAAAAGCCCAATTTGTAACACTAAACATTGTTCACAGATCACTTATTTGAAAATAATTTTTCTCAGAGTAAGACATGCTTAAAATATAATTTTCAAAACTTAAAAGTTGTACTCATCACTGTTGGTTGTGCTTATTAATGTTGTTCCTGTGTGTGTGTGTGTGTTTGTGTAGATCATAGGGCTTCTGAACGCATTCACACCCCAGAAGTCACTGGAGGAGTTCCAGGATGTGTACCTCGTGATGGAGCTAATGGACGCCAACCTGTGCCAAGTGATCCAAATGGATCTTGACCATGAGCGTATGTCTTATCTTCTCTACCAGATGCTCTGTGGCATCAAGCACCTGCACTCGGCAGGCATCATCCACAGGGTAAGTGCTTCTTCACGTTTTGTGCTCTGCAAAGGAAATTTCCGTAATGCCACAAAGGCCCAGCCACAAAAATTCTGAAATGAACGTGTGGAAACCAGAACGCTGTATGTGACATTATATAAATTCACAGAAATCTGTATAATTTGGTGCTTTGTTTCCTCATTAAAACCACAAAATTTCACTTATACCGTTCGGGTTTTCACCCATTTAAATGAAATCACTTCTGTATACAATAGGTCTTTTTATTGAGAACTTAAAGACAAAGTTCTGCAGAACTTTGTTTTCGGCCCAGAAGCTGCAAGCTCTGAGGATGATCGCTAAGCAATCGAAATGAGCTTAAGCCAAATATATTTTTTGATACCAGACAATATCTTTAATTGACCATATTTATTTACCAGGATCCATGTATTAATGGTTTAATGCATATGTTGGAGTTCGAAATAATTTATCTCCAAGAAGCATAATTTTATTTAATCATATTGTGCCTTGGCAACTGCAAGAAATGTAGAGTAGGTCTCATCAATTATTAACTAATTGGGCATGCAAAAACACTCCACACTCTGCATTTCATTGTTTTAAAAGTGAAAATAGCTTCAGTATGAATTCCAACTTCTCTAGCTGTCAACCTCCTACCCTCCTAAAATTAAAATTAAACCATTGAAAAAAGTTCTCATGATAGGAGGTACAACATAAGCATAGCTCATGTTCTATTCTTATCATAATAGGTTTTACGACCCTGGGACACATTGCTCTCAATTTATGCACAATGGTAATGTGTGGAGTGGCATATTGAGTGTTACGAGTCGCATGGACACCTTAATTTTTGCATATTTCATAATCCGCTCACTTCCAATGTTCTTATCTTTAATCTCGATGCTGGCCTAGGAGCTACTACTTCCCTATCCAGCATTAGCACACTTATAGGGTTTTGTGTTGCTGATGACTGGTACAAAACCATCAGCATTCGATACCATATTATTTATAATGAGACTTTTTGTTTACATATCTATCAAGTTTGTAATAATTTTATGATGCATTTTTGACACAAAATATCATTCATATTTTTCACCAAGAATATGGCAAGGGTCAGGGCCCTTCACTCCACTGCCCTTCAATCATACAATTTAATAATTTTAAATTTATATTGTAATTGTAAGCAAATTTATTTACACTTAGTAGTGACTAGTGGCTTGCTGCAGCAAAAATGCTGATCAAAACTGTTAAAATATTTTTCCAAAAAGTGGTATGTACACTGCCAAGAACTACAAATAAAATGATTGCATAAACACTGCAATAAATTAAATATTTTTTAAAAAGAAAGTTTTTCTAAATACTGCAATGAAATAGTATGACAGTTCTTTATGTACCAAAAATTACAAAAAGCTGCAGTTCCTACAAAGCAGCATTTGAATAGGAAATATTTAATGGGGGCGAGCTCATCATCAAAGCTGTGCTGTGCACGACATCAAATGTGTTGTAAGTAGTGATGCTCTAAATATGTAGATTCAGCTGGTACATGCACTATGAGAGCAGATGAAATAACATAAATATTTGGTGTTGTTTTTCTGTTAATATTTAATGAATTAATTAAACCATTATATTGTAAAGTAGAATGCAAATTCATTTTAAAACACCCTTTTTTAAAATTATTTCACTTTTCATTACTAGTATTTTGCTTACATTTAACACCATTTATTGATGCCAGCATTTGTTTGCTTATAAATCAAATATTTTTTTGTGAGAGAATGTGAGCATTGGATCTGCTTTTGATAACTGGTTAATTTTTGTTAATCTGATATAGTGTATATTACAGGAGTTTAGAAATTTTCATGTGTTCTGTCCACAGGACCTGAAGCCCAGCAACATTGTAGTGAAGTCAGATTGCACTTTAAAGATCCTGGACTTTGGACTAGCACGAACTGCAGGAACTACTTTCATGATGACTCCGTATGTTGTTACACGGTACTATAGAGCGCCTGAAGTGAGTACTTCTATCCATGTGTCTGCCTGCTCACATATTTGACATCTCATTTGAATGATCTCTCTAATGAAATATGTTATACTCTTTCAGGTTATTCTTGGTATGGGCTACAAAGAAAATGTGGACATCTGGTCTGTGGGGTGCATAATGGGAGAAATGATCAGGGGAGGTGTGCTCTTTCCTGGCACTGATCACATCGACCAGTGGAATAAAATCATTGGTGAGACGAGAGAAATTCACATTAATATTACAAAACAAATTCTAAAGGTTGTCTGCAGTTTATGTATTTAGGCATTTATAACATAATTGAATAGCAAAAATGCATGAACTTATTTCTTTCTAATACATGCCGGTTTTTCACAACACAGTAAACAATTTAATTCATGTTATCACACATTGTTCTATCACATCTATGTTGTGTTTATTACATGTTTCCCAGTATTATCCATAAGCTTTTAGAATACAAATATAAAATTCTTTCTCTTCTATAAATCTTTTTTGAACATTTAAGTACTTAATTTGCTCTCAAAATTAACAAATGTTATTTATTGTTCTTTTGGTTAATTTCATTTTTGTGACCACTGTTCACTTTCATGTATGTTACTGCTAATGACAATGGCTATTTGGTGAATTAGTTGATTAATTTGCATGATAACAAAGCAGTTTGGGTAAGAATGATAATGCCATTTCAGAGCTTGTCTGGGTAATGGTAACATTGGCCACACTGACTAAAGTAAGATTATTGTTTGAGTGTGAGGCATTTTGTGTTTGCAAGAAGTATTTTGACATAAAATAGTGTTAAATGTTATGCATTTCAAAGATTCAAATTAATTTTATATAAATGACGAAGGCCAGATCCTCATGGAAAACACATAGCGAAACATCAGCTGAGTTATTCAGTGAGGTTTGGTTAGGTTAGATTCAGTGGTATCGTGTAAATAGAAATGTACAATTGACATAGGGGAACTCAAAAAACGCACCTTGTGTTTCAGTAGTCTTAGAAACTTAACACTAGCAGTCTCATTCAAAAAGGAGTATGAAAAAAGTGTTGTATTACATAAAACTGTTATCTTTGTCACTGTAATCTACTCCACCTACTCTAATCACCTCTTATTGGCTAATATGCACTTAAAAGTCCTAAGTAGTACCTACTTCCAGTTTTTATTAAACTCTCTGATATTTAGACAATTGCAAAAATCTTTGTATTTTGAAACACCAATTGTTTTTAATTAGAGAGTTTGAGCTTTCCACTCCACCAAATTTCATAATTTTGGTTATAAAAGGAATATAGTGGGCCCCAGATGTTTTTTGATTTGTTGTTGTTAACCCTTTTTTTAATGTTAACACTAAACCTAAATTAATATAAAATGAATAGAATGAATCTGTATCTGGTGTCCTTTGTTCATAGTTTCATTGTGTGTTGTAATTGATCTATTGAAAGCATTTGACGATTTTAATCAGCTGGAAAACATGTGAGTGTAAGGGTGTTGTTAATATGGCGAGTTTTCTTAAGTTTGAAGGGTTTTTTAAATACAAATATAATCATTGAAGTATTGTTGGCATGTATGCATAAATGCAATGTCCAGCAGTTATCTGACACATGTCCTCACAAAAACTTTCAGTGTTTATAATTATTTGTGGTGTATTACATGTTTCAGGTAAGGTGAACACTATTTCTTTGCTTATTTCCCAACAACCACAAACAGATCTTGATAAAACATTTCCATTACATCTCTTTCTGTACTTCAGAGGTATACCTTTATGACACATATTTATATCAAAGAAACTTCTAGGGTGTTCATGTGAAAATTGCCTCTTGATTACTTAATAAGTCCTATTATTCTCTTGAAGTTAGCTGAATAAACACAAAAATTCATAGTGTGCATTGGCTTATATCTGGAAATTATGAATTGCTTCTGCATCTGCAATTTGCTTCAATATTGGTGCAATCTTCTTCTAAGCAATTTTGATACTATGAGGTGTAGTATTTGCCTCTCCCTGGAGCTCTCCTCAAGATGTTGAGAGGATTGTTTGAAAGAAGAGCCAATTCAGAAAAAGCTTTTAGAAAGAAAATGTATTACATATAGTGGTTAAAACCTTTCAAAACATATTGAGAAAATGTAATAGCTTGGGAACAAAATATTTTTGATACTGATGTTAACATTTATGATAAACGGAATATTGACTGCATGCATGACCATTATATGTTCTAATTCAATCTATCAGTAGGATGTGCTCTAATCAAATTGTGTAGTCATTCATGTGACTGTTGCATACATACTTGGTATAAAGAAATTTTATACAATTTTGTTCCTTTATATTATTTATTTTAAATTATATACATAAATAAATATAATCATCTGACAACATTATCTTTCATTCACTTCAAAGGCTCCTGTTATTAGTAATATAAAATTTAATTTATTGTTATAAAAAAATGTATAATGTTTGCTCTTGATTTTTGATCATGAATTTACTTTCAATATGTGAAATGTTAAAGAAATTAAATTGTTAATGTTGTCTTTTATTTATTATAGAACAACTGGGAACGCCATCACAGGATTTTATGAAAAGGTTGCAGCCGACTGTGAGGAACTATGTAGAGAATCGACCTCGTTATCCTGGTTATTCATTTGACAGACTCTTCCCAGATGTGCTCTTCCCATCAGATTCTTCAGAGCACAACAAGTTGAAAGGTTTGATTGTAGTTATAATTTGGCAATTCTCTAGTTCATATTTGTAACAATTTTATTATACATAATTTACTTATATGATGCAATTTGATAGAAAACAGAAGCAAGAAACAAAAGAAATTTAGCATTTGTTTTGATCATGAATATTGATGCCATAATATTAAAAGTTGTTTGATTTCTTCCTTGTTTCTCAAAACGATTACTAGTTCTGACTCACTTGGTTATGAACACCATTAAAGGATGTCCTATGGCTTAAAGATTGTATATTATCTCTACTAACCAGAAATGTTTGTTAATTTTCAAACCTTTTATTCATCTGTAAGTTATATGTTTATGAAATATTGTTTATTTTGTATATTAAGTGTATTATAAAGGCTTTACCACCAGAATCTATGGGGATCATTCAAGAAACTATCATTTCGCTCACAAAATATAAGCTTTTTTTTCTACAATCACAAAAAGGCTTGTATTACAAATCCTGATCTATATAATCTCTAGTCGGCATAGTTTCAACAAAACGAAGTACCATCTTCATTGTTTGTATAACAGAAGGACATGATCTGGAGTGATGTAATGGGTCATTCATAAAAGAAGAGGGGTCATTCATAAAGAGGAGAGGCAGGAGTTTGAGGCAGGGTTACACTGCATTGTAAAGGGGGTCATAGTGTTACGTTATGCTGATATTTATTTTTTTAAATCTTCCAACGTTTCCTGAAATAATTCCTTTTATTTAGTGTTATACTAAAACATTAACTTATTAGCAAATTAAAAAATAATACATTAAAGAAGTTATGTTGCATAAATTGTTGCAATAAATGGAAATATTTTTCAATGATTGAATCTTTTATATTACTAAGAAAATATTTAAAACTGATCTATAATATATTCTAGAATCCATTTAAGTTAGCGCAGTAGACTCGGAGCGTGTGCGTTATCCATGACGGCATGTGCACGGCTTGCCAGAAATTTCTCGACTATACTTCCGTCTTTCATTTAAGGATTGCCTCCTCCAATCTTATTATTAGGTGCAATCTGCACCAACTAACTAATTCTCACTTTCATAATCACAAATTTTAATTAATAACATAAATATAATTAATACAACTCGTTTCTGCTTTAGAATTGATTTTTACTTATTGTAAGTGGTGGAGGGGGTCTTCTCACAAGCATTATGTAATTATTGGAGGGGAGTTTCAAGTATGCGTTACTGAGGGGGGGATATTCAAAATTCTCCAAATCTGCGTCGCATTATTTATAGACAACCCCCAAGAATTGTTTTGTTTTTGTCCAGTATTTTCTAATGCCTCATACAAATACTTTGTATTGGAATACAAAGGGAATGTATCGTGTGTGTAGATAGGTATAAGTAAAATAAAATGTTCGGACCTAGTCATTATTTCATCCATTTATGCCGGAACTTTAATGAAGATAAAAACTAGGTTGTGAAGTCAATTGATTATTTAATTTTGATGAGCGTAAAACAAGATCCATAGAATCTAAGTACCACAACGCATTGACAGTTCTTAACAAACATTCAAATGTCAAAAACATCAAATATCTTGAAACCATAAATACAAAAATCTGAGAAAAAAATGTAGTAGAATACTTTCAAAGTATTCATTAAGACCCTTTGGATTATTTTTTACTCAAAACAAATTTACATTCCTGTCGTACATGAATGTAATGAGAGATAATAATGAAGGCACTTTTACTGCATTTTTTATTGCATTTCCCAGTATAACATTACATTGATATGTATTGTTTAATTTGAAAATCATGATTGTATGAACTTTACCAATTTCATTGCCAAAACCTTCCATACATAGTAACAATCATATTGCTCCAAAGAAGCTAACACAATAGTGTAGAAATATCTCTTAAGAATATGATTGTGTAAGATTCTCAGTAGTGTTTAACAAATTAGGGAAAGTTGTTAGATCAAAAATGATCCACTGGGTATATAAGTCAAAGAATTGTTTCACCTATGTATCCTAAAATTTCTAAAAATAAAGTTTTTCTTTTCATTGGAACATGTTTTGTAATGAAATGTATTATATAAACAACCCAATTTTTTTTCTCTTTGGTTTTAGAAGTATAAATCTTTTCAATGTGAACATTCCAGTTCAAAACTTTTTTCTACAACATTGATTTTTTCAATTGTGCTCTTGGAATGTATAAGTAGATTCAAAGGAGTGGGTAATGTGTGAAATGTTTGTACACAACTCAAAGTAACACTCTTGCTTGTGTAATTGGCTGATTGCAGCTAGCCAGGCACGTGACTTGTTATCTGGAATGTTAGTGATTGATCCAGAGAAGCGGATATCTGTAGATGAAGCCCTGTTGCACCCATACATCAACGTCTGGTATGATGAGGCAGAAGTAAATGCGGTGAGTATAAGCAAGTTTCTCTCCTATTATGAGTAAAGCAGGCCTGTTCAGAACGTGACATCAGACGCAAACAGTACTTTTAATAGCAAGGATCAATGGGAAATTACTTACTAAAACAGGGATGTGAAAATCTTTGGCTCACTACAAAATTTTATAAATATCTCCGAAAGTTGAATGTAGTTCCAAATTATTTAGTGGGGTATGACAAGTACGCTGAGATCAAACATACAGTAATTGTTGAAAGCATGAAAACAAATTTGTATCTGGTCTAGAAATATTTTAGAGCCCAGCAAATAATTTAGAAAAGGTATAAGGCTCTTTGTATACAAAATTTAGTTATTCTGTGTTGTGAGAATTTTCAAAATATAAACAATTGTAAAGTTTCCTTTAATATTGGAGGCATATCAATAAGTCATTGTCCTTAATTATACACTGAAATATAACTGTAGAATATGTCCACTGCCTGGTGATCTCCTCATTTGTTCATGCATCTGTCTCTATCTGAAACTGACAATCTCTAAAACTGACTGTACAGTGTTATTGTTTGTTGCAGCCTGCCCCAGGTCCATACGATCACTCCGTAGATGAACGAGAACACACTGTAGAACAGTGGAAGGAACTCATCTATCAAGAAGTAATGGAGTATGAAGTGACACATGGCCACAATGCACTGAGTTCAGCTCATTGTGCGCCTCGCGCTGCAAATAGTGAAGATGGTGATGAGCTGGCTGATGGGCAACGTGCTGCTCGGCGGTAGAGTTCACAGTCGTCCTCGCCCATGTCCATGAAAGTTGACAACTGCACCCTCACTGCTCGTTGCACCGCGTGCGCGCAGAGGGCAGTGGTTCAGAGACCTGCACCTGCCCTCTCTTGTTACATTTTGAAAAGTAATTTTTAGAGTATTGTTTTGATTTCCATTAGGAGGAGGGGTGGAGAAATTGGAAAGGGGAGAGGAAACGAGAGGGGGCTTGGAGGATAGTTCACAGGTGGGTGTCAGGTTTAGGTACACAATTCCACTGTCCCTGATCGTTAGTGGAACTATTTCCAAATCGGTGACTGTTGTTCACCTTGCTTGTTGCACAGAGCACTACCATATTGGGGCCGCTCTGTGATCTCTTCATTTGGTGGATATGACATGCCCCTTCCTGGAGTAGCTTTTTTGTTTTGAGGGGGGATGTTGATAATGTCCTGTTGAGGCTGAGCATTTGCTCTGGTTTGTTTGGGTTTTTTAGTACTAGTGACATCTTGTGTATTAGTACAAAACACACACATGTACGAAAAATAAGTCCATAAGAAGAATTGCATTTCACTCTTTCTCAACTTTTTGAAACTAGGATTGAACCCTAATTGAGGTTAAATTCTGTGTTTAAATGTAAGTTTCACAAACCGAGTTGATAGCTATTAATATAACCTGCAGATGTGGGTAGCGGTTAGTCTAGGTTCCAGTTTTACTTTTTATCATTTACCACCAATGTAACTTGCATGAACTGTTGGATTGGTCGTGTGAAACATACATGTCTAAGCATATAGCGTAATAAAGGGGCATTTTCTTGGGTTAAACAAAAAGGAGATGGAAATTAGGGATACAACTTTTGTTCTTGCTTTTGTCAGTACAGTACTTTTCCCCAAGTGGTATCAGTCTGTAGTATTGTGCATCTATTTTTTGATTGCTAGTTGTAGGTCTTTTGGAAAGAGCATGATAAGCCTTGTGAGAAGAATGTGGACTGTATAGTGCATCTGTTACAATACTTTTTTATCTCCGTAATAAAAGTTTTACCATAAAATTCAAGTGACAGTGTGTGCTATCAAGGAACTTGTACTTTTCTTCCAAAAGTATATGAATATATATATAAATGAAAACAAACAATATGTGTGCAAGATTATATAATGTATAACTATAAATATATGCAGTCCGGTCCAATGAAATTTAATTTTTATGTGGTGAAGATGGAAACACTGCGAAGTTACTGACAGTTGAATTGTGTGCGTGAATGTCTGTTGCAATTCATCTTTAAGGGAAGAAAGAAGTGAGTTATTAAATTTTAGAAGTACTGAACTTAACAAGTGCCCCTATCCTTTGTTGGTGGAAAGAAGAAAGATGTTTGCAGGAAAAAGTGATTTGTTTGTTATTTTAATTTTGTTGATATTTTTATAATATTTTATTTTACAACCTCATAGCCATAAACAGAATTGACATTTTTATTTCATATTTTCCTGCATTGCTGTCTGTGATTATAATTTCCTGAGGGTTAGCCCTTTCAAGGGGGTAGTGCTGGTCCCTGGTCCTTATCAAAGAATCTCTTTGAGTTCTGAGCTTCTGTTGTTGACACTTGTGAAGTTGCAATTTGCTCTATTGTAGACAAGTGAATTTCTTTAAAAGGTCAAGAGTTTCCATGCAACTGATACTACAACTCTTCTGCCTCTTGGTTGTGGCAGAGAAATTGATGCTAGTTGGATGGTAAGAGAAATTGAAGATGAAGTTCATAATGACTGCAACAACAACAACAATAAGAAGAATAAAAAATAAAAAATGTTTTTCAGAGCGGATTTTCCGCCTGTGTATATACAGTTCTGCTCCGGTCCTTCTGTGAATAAGTATGTAAATCATATTAATTATTATATACATAATGAATATATAACCCATGTAGTGTCACAGGAAATTACGTAGATACATTTTTAATTCTTTGTTTTGTGTGTGACCTGGGAAAATTGAATACGAGAGAACAGGAAATTGTATCTTAACATGTGTTAGTCGAGTTTCAATTGCCTCAGTGCTGTACTTATTAGGAGGGTAAAACTTAAAACCATCCCCAGATAATGTTATGAGTATTATACTTAGGTATTTTACCAATACTTTTGTAGCGTGTAGGAAAATTTGTGAATATGGCTTTGTTTATTATGACCCAACCATATTGCTCAGAATTATCCAAAAAGAAAAATAAAGAAAACCTCGAGGTGCAATAAGTTGTAGAGTAAAGGGGTTTCTTGCTGAAGCCTGCCTGTACAAGACTTTCTTCATGCTGGAAATGACCAGATCGGTTGGTTTAACAGTCTGTGTTCTTTCATAAGGGGTATGTGGTTGTACTTGTAAAAAATAATGGTGTTATGCTGTGGTATTGTGTCAGAGTGCACGTCGAAAAGTGTTGTGCCCTGTGCTTTTAACAAGGTGGAATAGTGCAATATTGTTGTGGCTCTGACATGAGACGTGAGCTAAGCTGCACGTTTGATGCTAGTGCTAGTGCTGTTAACTCTGACTACTCTGACCCAGAGTCCCAGCAATGCTCGAGTCTTGTGTATTTGAATTGTATGTATTTATGCCTTACAGTAACTGCCTTCTGTTCTTAAGAAGGCTGACTATTTTTGATGTTTTTAAACAGATACAAGTGAATGAGAAAATTCTAATTATGTGACATTTGTGTTGCAGGTAGACATGGTATTTTCATATTAGATATTTTTTCAGAATTGTAATCAATTTTGGTTTTCCCTTTGTATTTTGATAGTCTGCCGATATGGATAAAATGATCAACAGATAAAAGAAACGTTAGCAGGATTTGGAGAAGTGTAGTATTGCATCTTCAGTAAATGTGGAATATGAGGATTTTGATATTTGATGCATCAAAAGGTGTGAGTTTGTGCTGATCATTTTGAATTTTTTCTAATGGAGCATTGCAATACTTAATCTCCTAACTGCTAGCAATATGACTGTTGTAAAGTTATTAAAAACTATGATTCAATGATAAGTTTTGATCACTTAACTTGAGGCATCATGGGAGGTCTCTTGCAAGGCTAATGAATGATCAAACACCAAAGCGTTTCAACTTATGAATGTCATCGTCTCCTTTGATTCATAAAAAAATCAAATGTATTAAAATATTTTGTTCTTATTTTTTTCTTACATTTCATGAATATTAGAAAATGGTTTTTCCTATGTCCAAACATCGAAATACCAATAACAATAACATAATATCAATAATAATATTAATAATAATATTGATAACAATAATTATGATGGGTTGAAATGTGCAAATAATTTGTGTGTTGTGTGTGTCCGTACTACTGGGGCTGTGCAATGAAAGAAAACCAGGTGTGGAAACTCCAGTGAGAATAATAGCTTATGTTGCAGTTAGCTAAATGTTTCTCTTCTTTTTTAAATAAATCCTTGGAACAGTAATTGATATTGGAAAGAGAAGTACACATGTTACTTGATACAAGATATCTTTCTTGTGACTGTCTGAATGAATTCCTAATTTTCTGGGAGGTTTTTGTTTTTGAAACTGTTGTGAATACGATGATTCAGTGCAAGAAGTTTCATTCCATTTACATCTATAGATGCCAGGAGTAATTTGTTAATGAAATGACAGCTTATTTATTTCCTAATCCTCTGGTAACAGTGAAGTGAAGTGAAGTGGTTAAGATAGGATTTGTAATTTCCTGTGCAGAAGCAACCAACTCCTTTGGAACTGAAGATTTTAAAACACTGGTCATTTTCAGATGTGATGTTTGTAATTTAAATAGCAAGTTTTCATGGAATTTGTTAATAAATTCAGGTGACAAATAATGTTAATAATTGTGAATTTTAAAATATTAACTACTTTGTAAATTTTTGTCTGGGGTATTGTCAAAAGGATGAAACTTAAATGTACAATCCATAGAAAATGCTTCTAGTGTTTTCCAATCTTCATTTCATAAGTTTCCAAAGCAATTCAGGTTAAAATCCCAAATTGAAACAAAAACTATGGGATACTTCATGTAACATAAAGAAAACAAAGAAAAAAAATTGAGTCTCTTATTTTCTCAAGTGTGCATAAGATTTTTTATGCTTCTAACTTTTGTACACATTCAATTTAAAATACACAAAATGTTTGTTTCATAAGTCAATCAAATGAAATGGAAACTCAACATATTTCTTTTCATATGGGTCCATTCTATTATGAGATTATGATGAATTGACTTAAACTAACTTGAAGACATTGCAAAAAAAGATAATAAGAGCATATTTTATAGCTTTAATATTCAATATGTATTTTGTACAGAGGCGGTTGAAGGGATGGGAAAGGGAATTTTGAAAAAAAAAAACGTTACAAAAACAATCGATTTCTCTTGTGGAACACCTCAGCTTGAGTCGCCCTTAGTAGCAGACACAGGGCTGCTGGTAGGGACACTGTAGGAGTCTTCTTGGCTTAGTTCAACAATGTATTTATTGTGTAGTGACTGGCAGAAGGGCGTCAGTGTCCTGATGGACTTGATATCGTGTAATGAATGTTGACTGAGAAATGTGAAACAAATGTTGGGGTCATTTAGTTGACTTGCTGGAAGAAATGTGTGCTTCGGAGTTGGTATGTATCCCAATTGCGAAGTTATGGTTCATGCTGGGACTTGTTCCCATGGCTGCAGTGTTGCTGAACATGTAATAGATGGTGGTTGGTGTAGAGTTTTGAATGAGAGAATCGTGCTTTTGTATTTTTATCAGACTCCTCCCCTACTACCAGCTCTGCAGTGCCATTCCTAGACATAGCAGTTTTACATGTATCAGTACAAGAGGCTCCTTATGATGGCAGAGTGTACATATTGTTAACTTATATACTAGTTACTTGTTTTGAAGTGTAAATTTCATTGCCATGTGGTAGTATGTATTGTGACTTACGTTGGATTCTGATAAGCGTACAAGCAAGCAGCAAGGGTTAACCTGCATACTTAACTCGGTATCTAGGAAAAGACCCACTTTTCAAAGCAAATGGCTGACATTTTCCTACACAAGGGGTATTGAATCTGCTTTTGTGTGCAAGCGTGGATGTTAACCAAAGCTACCACTAAATTGAAATCCACAAAGATTCCAAAGTGTAATCAAGATAGTTAAGGATGCAGGAACTTGTATCAAGAGACTTTGGAAATCCTGGTATTTTGCATGTTTTGTGTATTGATTCATCAAATTGAACTGTGATATTTTTAATTTCCATTCAAAATAAACAATTTTATAGTTGTGAGGCATAAAATTATGTTCTTCCATAATATATCCAAAGGTAAAATTGAATTACTGTGAGAATTTTTTTGTATGTTGACTACTTTGTGAATAGCAGTTCAGTGGTACATTTGAGTTACATTTGAAGAATATATATTTGTAAGACTACTTGGGTGAAGTTTAAGTTGAGTCATGTGCTGTACGTAGGTATACTTCATTGCGATGTCAGGAGACAGTATATTGTCCCTTGGCTTGCCTGCGCTTGTTGGTCAGTCTTTTCCTGTAGTTGGCTGCGTGTGCCCTAGCCAACGCTATGATAGTCTGTAGGGTCGTTAAATAGAGCTGTTTTCTTTACTATGTATTTCTTGATTGAAACTGTCCAAGTGTCACGAGTCCTGCCAACTTTGGAAAAAATAAGTCAAGCGTGAATTTTGACAAAAGTAGTTGTCTTTTTTAATTATTTTTAAAGTATAAATACAAATGTAGAAACATGAAATAGATACAATTTTGAACCTTCATTATTTTCATCGCAATGTGGTTCCATGTACTACCAAACTATTTTGCATTTACCAATTATACAGGTAATGAAAATAATGTTAAATGAAATTGAAAATTGCTCTAAAGTTATATAGATGAGATGCTATACTTTTTTCTCTCTTTCCTGTGTGTCTTTTCAAACTTTTCTTTTTCAATCACCTTTCCCCTATATTAACATACATCACTTCTAACAGATCTGCTAGTTTGATGTTTTTATTCTAGACCAAAATGAATTTTCTGGTCCTTTTGTCCCTGTAATAGATAGTAATCCACACCTGATACTAGTTTGGGAATCCATCTATAGAATGTGTTTGTGAGTAATGGTAGATAACATTAACTTTGAGTGTAAGTTAAAGTGTGATATTTAGTTTCTGAGATGTATATATTGTTGTTTCAAAAGCATAATTTTTATTAGATAATCAGGTAGATCTTTTGATGATGTAGTTTTTATCATAGCGTTTCTTAATAGAGTTGTTCTAGTATGATGTGAAATATGTTTGCATGGGTAGTAAGAGAGTAAATAGATCTTTTTTGTATTGTTTTTGACTTGCATTCATCATCCAGTAATTGAATGATTATGAAAATGATATCAATTGGAATTACCAAAAGAAATGGTAAGCCTTTTTCATGAGATTTCATAGGTGACTGATATATCCGATACCTCCAGAAAATTTTCTTTCTTCAGTTTCAAATCATTGTCCTTTCTTCTTTTGACACTACTATATTTTCAATATTAACAATACAAAAATATTTTCAACTCTTTAACTGATACAAAATAAGTGAAATACTTAAAAGGAAAATATTTTATGAATATTAGGTATTTTACAGTAATGTTCTAGCAAACAAGAGTGAGATTTTAATTACTTTTTTATTGCTGATAATCACAGACCAATTTACATTGTTTGAACATGAAAAGAAATCTCTCTACAAACAGATAATGAAAAAAGTTACAAAATAACAATACGTTTTTGGTACTTTGGTCTTTTTTAAAGAAAGATTACTTAGAATCAGAGTTTGCTGCCATTACACTTGTCTTTATCACAAACGGCTGTGAAATCCACCACCTTGTTGACAACACATCCAGACATCTTGATTTCAAGATCAGTTCCAGTCGCGCATGTCCGGTTGGTCACAACTGTGCCTCCATCCACTGAAGCAGAGAATTGTTTTCACCGTACTACTTTCTTCTTGATGCATATAAATTACATATTTTTAAACAACCATAGGTATTACATATTAGGATAAAAATTAAAAAGTAACAAAAGCCATTGTATGATATAAATTTCTTTTTGTTATAATAGAGGCTGGTTAAAAGCATGGTAAAGACTTGTGGAAATGATCAGTTGTACAATGTTGAGATGATCTTGAAGGGACAGAAAGTATTTCAGAAAACAATGAACTGCAACCTAATGAACACTTAGGTTATGCTTTCATCAACAAATAATCCAATGTTCAGGAAAATTCCAAGACTGAAATGTTGCAAACAAGAGAATTGGGTCATTGAAAAACTCTTGTATTCACATTATGGCCTTAATCATTTTTGGCGAAGAAGGAAGTCATCAGTAACAAGTTCTTTCTCTAAAATGGAGAGGCAAATGCACAGCTTACAAACACTAGATGAGATATTTCATTAGCAGGAAAAATCTTTTGCTACTATTAATTCTACTTCATCAGACATTTTCTTTATAACTAACTGTTAATACACTTAATACTGGCTGAAGGACTCCTCATACCAGGAATTATTTATCACAATCATCTCTAAAAGTAAAGGAATGAATTACATCTATACGTATCTAGCATATACGCTGGGTGGAATACGTGTCTAGCGTATTCCCGCCCAGCCTTGCCTTGCCTTGCCTTGCCTTGCCTTGCCTTGCCTTACCTTGCCTTGCCTCGTCCTGTGCCCAAAAACCTACCCTGACTTGCTTTGCAGTGTTTGCTATTACCATCATTGCTACAGGCAACTATAAACAGATGCATAGTTGCATACTCCCTGGAAACTTCCAAAAACAATGTTGATCTTCAGTTACATAAAAAGTTAATGGAATGAGTCAGGAAGCATTTGGTAAAGAATTTTATGAACTCAGTAAAGTTATACTTGTTTCATGAATATTTTGAAAAACTGAAAGAGTGCACAATTAAAATGTATTTTTCAAAGGAATGGGAGGTGAAGCTAGTTTTTCTAAAATTTCATTTAGACAGTAATGTTTCTCTAGCTTTGAAGGTCACTGGTACAAAAGCTTTTAGGGTGAAATAAAACTGTAGATATGTATTTAAAACTGCAAAGATCCTTTTTGTTCATAACAGAAAACATTGATGTATTTATAAAAATTAAGGTTAAATAATGCCTGATCAAATATTAATTTTAAAACACACATACCCCATCAAAATCGTTTTGGCCTTTCCTAAGATCATTCTGGACAAATATGCACTTAAAAATTGTGAAAATAATTGAATGGGTTTTATAATACTTATACAAATGAATGAGATTATCAAAAGGCAGTTATTTGAAAATCTGACAGATTCACTCCATAGATTCATGACATGGGCAGAAACAGGAAGATTCTATATTTACCATGAAGGCCCAAGAGCCAAATGAAGTTTTACCATTTCACCTAAGATAATGATTGAGGCATATAAGGGAAAAATCAAATATTCATGAGCATTTTCACATCATCTCTTAGGCAAAACTAAGACATCTGCATTATGAAAATATCCAGATTTTTTTAGCACAGCAAAGGTTTGAGAGTATTCACCAATATTCTTTAATAGCTCTTTACTTGAGAGTTTTCTGTGCATGAAGACTTGCTGAAAAACTGAACAGAATAGACATTATAAAAAGAATAAAAGGATTCTGCAGGCCTTGATTGATGTGTGTTAGTTTCAGGTAGGTTCTGATGAGTTGGAATTTAGTTTATGTTTCTTTTTATTCCAAATAAATTTACTAGCAAAGTCATGTGAAACTGATTTATTTCTACTCATTATTTTAATATTGCATGGCAAGAACATTCAAAAATTAATAACAGTTTTGTAATTGTTTATTACTTCAGAAAGGACCCCCCCACACACACACACACACAAAAAGAAAGACACACAAGAAGAATTTTTTAGGGTGCAGAGATGGAAAAATAGTATGTGAAACTGAACATTAGCTTTTTCAAATGCTATTGTTTTTCTCCCTGAATTGAGGGGACTGGGTATTTGCACTGTTTTGCAAATTGAATGAAAGCTCAAAATAAAGAACCCCGTACTGTGCAAAGCAATATCTCTGCCAATGGAAATCTGTAAAAATTATTAATTATGAATGTGAATCCCACTGAGAATAATTTAAACATTCTTGTTCATGCGTTTAGACAATGCTCTGATCCTTTGTACCTAGAGAGGCGATTTACTCACTGGCACTTTTTTTTATTTCTTCTCTCTTTATGAATTCAGAAATACAATTGAAGGTAGTAAAATGAACAAGATGCATTAAGAAAACAAAAATATAGGGAGGCATAAAATGTTCTAAATAAAGAGTACTAATCTGTTTAAGAAACTGAAATTTTAACATTGAATCAACCGCATACCTTCAAAATTTACTTCAAGTATTACTCTTTCTTTTTTTGCCCCCTTGTAATTTGGGAAGTGGTAATCAAAGCTTTATTTCTTTGATACAAAATAGTTAATGGATAATGGCCACGAATATCACCAGCAGCTTGGAAGGGAAGGGGCATTTTTACCAGGCAAAGGGTACCAAGAAAATCCCTCAAATGTATTAGTATCAAAAAATGTAGGAGAAAGTGATAGCGATAGTGATACCCTTGGACAACGCTATTGTGAATTGCTAAAATTGTAAGATGACAATGTAGTTGTGCTAGGGTCATATTATAAATCATACTCATTTGTTAGCAGAAACAAAATATTTTTAGTTAACTACTTATTAAAACATGTTAATCAACATTTCAGTAATGTTTAACTATTAAATGTGAACATTTTCTTGAGCTCTAATAAAGTATCAGCTATATTATGTAGGAGGTACTGTCTTGATATCTCTGGATGTAGGAGGATAGGGGTGGGGTGAGAATTTTGACTTGACTAATGGTTATTAATATGTATCTCGCTTTTCGGTACAAACCAATTTATTTTTACACGAGAGCGAACATTTCTCAATATTTGTTAACAACGCTCGATACTGTATTTTTTGGGGTTGTTTTCCAGCATTGTAAACCTTTTTCGTTACAAGAAATCTTTCATAAAAGAACATCTTACGGGACAGATTATGGCGTATTTGATGTTGTGGCACGATAATTGGGTCATCACAAATTCAGTCAATCGCAGCGAGAGAATAGTAAGTAAACGGAACAGCCGACCGTTTTCTCGCACAAATGTCAAAGATCCGCGATGTCACAATAAAATCGTTTAACAAAATGAAGTTTGATTATCTTATAAATCTGTATTTTCGTACAATTTAAATTCGTATAAATTTGAAAACTCGCTCCTAACGACACTCGTTTTCAAAATGTAATAAAACTTAACATTATAGCCTAATTACATAAACTACTATTCTTAATTCAACCAATGTTGGTAAAGGAGAGGGGGTAGTGATTCTGAAGAAAACTTCCGTTTGTAAATTTGTTTTGGACATCACATAGTTTTGAAATACGTACCGACTTCAATACGTTTTCTTAAAATTTATTTGAAATCAGACAAATCTTAGCATGGGACACTTTCTGATTGTTTTAATTAAAATAATATTAAATTAAATGTAGTGACAATATTCCTATTCGAAAGATGACTTGAAAACAAGGCTGACAAGAAGCACACACATTCTAACCGTGTAAGAAGGAAGACTAATACAGCACGGGACGTGGCACTCTAAGTTTACCCATGAAAAGGTAATTGCAGACAGCAGAAGAATCTCGGATAAAACCGTCCGAAGGACATTACAAAATTCGTGATGGGCATGTAGATTGAATTCAAGAAGGCATGGATTATATAGTCTGGTACTACTCTATAAAAAGCATTATTGGCAATGCCGTGGAAATTTCGATCACGATTTCTGAAATTGTGTTATCTTTGTGAGGAAAGTTCCAGATCGTACGAGTATTGGTGGAAGTTCGTAAGGTGCCAAATACAGATTGTGGATATGATATGTATATCCGTTTAGTAGTAAGCCGGAGTGTTGATATGGTGATGCATGGCAGCTTCAGGCGTGGGAAATTTACAATTCTTAGAAGCTACAAGGAAAAAGATGGATTATTTGCTCATACTAAAAGAAAATTATAGAACCAGCGCACAAAATTTAGGTTTGGAATCGTCTACAGAACTGCGATCGTTTATTATACGTTGTAAAGTCGAGTTCTGGTTATTATATAACGCTTCCATTGTCTCCTGATATTAATCCAATACAGTAATGGGAAATAGAAAAAAGAGATCGGCCAACTACCACGGCAGCTTCGACGAGAATCGAGGAGGAATAGAAAATGATTTCCCTTACCCAGTCAAGATCACTCTTGCATTCCATGCCATCAAGACTCATGCCATGTCATCGAGCTGCTGTGGTCAAGAACAAATGTTTCCCACAAAAATTGAACTCACAGTTTTTGTGTCTTTTCACACAGGTTTTTTCTTTAAAGATTGCAGTGCACGATTATTTTGGGATCACCGAAAATGCCCCGAATTGATAATTTTGCTTCGAATAAAAAGTTCATTTGGTTTCAAACGAGTCAAAAGTGATTTATTGAAGTCAAATGTGATTTATTTGTCATTTTAAATGTCATTTATCAAATGTGATTTATTGAAGTCAATATATATTTCAAAACAGTGTGATGTTCAAAGTTAATAATTGATGTAATGATCTGTACTTTTGTCTTAATTCTGGTACATATCTTGTGATCAGTTTCTTGAGAAACTAGGTCTTAACTACAGACATACCCGACTGTCCAGACTTACCCGAAAAAAAATTGCCCCATTTGATGAGCAAGAATATAAATACGTTTTCCCAAAACTTTAATCATAAACTAGCAATCTATTTTCTTCCTAGAAATAGTATATACATTTCCTTACCCAGCACTGTACCGTACTCAGGCGCAGAACTATTGAATTCAGCTGTGTGATTCCACTCGGTGCAACAAATGACCCTCATCTGCGCGTTTCTACGGGCGGTGACCCCTCTCCCCGCAAAGCTCCTTTTTCTCGACAGGCTTACGCTACAGCGACGATTATCCAGAATCGTGACCGATGGCAGCAAACGAAAAGTTGAACATTTCATGTCCGTGTTGCCGGCGACAAAAAGCTTCCAGTTTCCGAATTTTTACAAGTTTTCAAGCGCAGTAAGGTAATAGACGGCTGATGTCTCTTCCGAAATGTGTTTACGTGTGTTTTACATGAGCTAATGCAAAAATTGTCTCTCCAATCTAGCGTTATGAATTTTAAAATATTTGGGGGCTCCATTTCTTGCTGCCATTACAACACATAGATACAACAAAAGAGTTTGCTTTTTTACGTTGGTAAAATTTTGCCGCGAAGAACATTCATGTGTTAGTGAGTAAATAAGAGATTTGTGCAGTGTGAAACAAGAAAACCTAGGCCTGTGTCATATGAGCGTTTTGTTCACGCGTTTAGTAGATTTATACTGTCTTATGCAAAGTGGCACACAAGCGTTCTTGGCACTTCCGCATAAAGTGTTAATCTATGACGCGCGTCAACGCAACGCTTGTGTGACACAGGCCTTAGTCCTAATCACATTTAATTACTTAAGCGACTAATTTCCCGATATCAGATGGAACCATTTTCATGAACCACAATGCGTTATGTTTGTCTTAAGAAGGTGCTTAGCCGTAGAAGATACGGTCTAATACGATATTGGAACACCGGTTGCAAAAACGCACTAATGAATGGAGGTGAATGACCATAAGAACTCTCAACGAATATTACTGGTAGTATTCGAGTATCCTAGCGCCCGTCCGCCACTCATGGTTAGACCCCTTCCTGTCCACCAAAGAGAAACCTATCAGGCGTAATTTGACACGTCTCTCTGGATGAGAACTGACGATCTGTTTGCGTATCCCTTCAGACGATTGCAGGAAATTCCCAAAATCACGTTTTTTAGCGTTGCGATCTAGCGGTAGCCGCGGGAACCACGTGTCCCAGCGCATGATGTGATGACAGCGAAATGCAACGCCATTCCGGTGGCCTACGTATCTAGGCGATAAAAATCGCCCGGACCCCGCTGTTTACAGTATGGGATGCAGGGCTTGGTTCAAGGAAAAGGTTCATCGTCAGTGTTGCCATCCCGTATGATAAGTACCGTTTTATAGGATAATTTTATGTGTAGATATACGATAGTGCTAATGGAATAATCCCCCTTTTGTAGGATAATTTGAACTATACAAATATGTTATAGTATAAATCTATAACAATGACAATGTGTTACAGAAAAGGAGCTTGTAAAGAAATTTGTAGAAATTTTTTTCTGGGAGCATTCGGATTACGTCCTATTCTGGAGTGGGAGGTGGCAGCAGCCCAAAAGATCATCCGACAAGTTGCGACAACAATTAAAAAACGTATTATTGTTTCATTGTAATCCTTAATAGATTACTTTTACTTACAACGCCCGAGAATGAAAGAAAAAGTCAACTGGTTTTTAACAAGAGAAAATAGTTTAAGGCAACGGCAACACTAAATTAAGCTAATTAACAAAACAATAGAACAGAAACCCAATTGTGCAGAAACAAGTTCAGTTTTCGTGACGAAGTGGACCTTACATCGAAACTCAAGAAAAAGTTTGCAGGATGCCCCAATAATCGCCTTTATCCTTTCGTTTTGGAATATAATTTCAGCCCGGCAATGTTTTTAAAAAGAAATCATTAAGCCCTTAAACGAACACATTTTTAAAAATACTGTTTTTACGTTTTTCTTTGTGTACCTTTGTCAACGGCTGTAAAGAAGTGATTAGTAGGCGAAAGTGAGTTTTTCAATACAAGTAAAAATGTGAGGATATTTATTGTGCGGCAAAGAGAATGTGTTGCTACTCTTACTAAAAGAGTTTAAACAATAACTAAAAAAACATTTTCCCTTGTTAGACTACAGTTTTCTAATAACCTTCTTAATACTCGTACTAATCTGAACAAAAAGAAGAGATGAAAATTAACCAAAATAATCGAAAAGATCATATCTGAGGGGACTTCATTTAGGGTCCTATAAATATTGATTAAAAGTTGTTTGAAAACCATACTTAATTTGAAAATTTAATATTTTTTTAGAAAAAAATCAATCGCATATGCAAATTACAGAGGTGGTAATAAATCCTTTCAAAATTTTGATTTAATTTTAAAATTTTGTTGTTTTTCTTTTGAAAAAGAAATAGTATAGTTGAACAAGAAGATAGTGCGGAGAAAGAAACCGAAATACAGGATGCTAATGGATTGATTGACAATTTTGGGGGGATTTGAGCTTTGGAGATAAACCATAGGGAGTTCAGGTTTCGCCATAATAATTCGTTCTGTAGAATATACCAGATAACATAACTTATTTATAAATTCATGGAAGTGCAAAAGAACTTCGCGCAAATTGCATGGTCCAATATGCAGACCTCACATCAACCGTTGCCCAAGCAGCAATTCATTGCACTTAGATTTCAATAAACGCCCTTACGCACTGTGATTCTAAGGAGCACAAAGTGGCGAAACATGCAAATTTGCCGCCGTCATCGCCACACACGCCCACTGTCCGAATCCATTTTCCTGAAGCGACGCGACGGGGAGAGCGTTTCGTAGGCCTCATTCACAATCCGAACTTCAAAGTAACGCAATGCTGTAAACTTAGCACAGGGTTGCCATCGCTCCTCCTTTTGGAGGACTTGTCCGTCTTTTTTTAACATTGACCTTCTGTTACAGGAAACGTTCTCCTTTTTGTCCTGTTGATTTGAAAATAATACTGGTACAATTTTAAACTAATTTAATTAATTAAAGAAACGTCAGGTCTTGAATATCTACATTTTTTCTCAAATAAATGGTCATTAGGCTTATTGTGATATAAAACTTATTTATGCTTGTTGTTTGGTGGATAATGAATGTGAGAGCGGGAGTGAAGATATACAATTGGAAGCTTTCATTTTTAATGATGCAAAGTATAATAGACTTTTTACAAGACTAATAATGGTTTGGAATTATTGAGTACATTATCTATAAATCGTGGAGTTAAAAGTCTTTCTTTTTAAGTAAAATGTCTTCATTTTCAAGTAAAATGTCCACCCTTTTTAAGTAAAATGACCTTCAATGGGAAAATATTTTCTGGTGACCCTGATTTAGCAGTATAATGTACACATAAAACAAGCATTAACAATGACAAATGTAAGCTGCGACGTGATTTTCGCCTGAACGAATCAGAATTCAACGTATTTAAACTTGAACGGTTTGTTTCTATCATGGTGGAAAGATCTCTCCACCATGGTTTCTACTTTTTTCTTTGACTTTCCTATCGATTTGGCTTCTAATACAGAATGAGTCACTTGACTTTAGCACCTCTTGTAATTTTTGAAAGATTGAAGTTATTGCAATGCAGTTTTCACGGAAGTGCATGAGAAAATGGGGCTAATTGATGTTTGTATTCGTTTCCATTCATTTCACGTTATCACATGCATTTTACGAAATATTCAAGTAACTTTGCTGTTGTTTTTTCAAATGTTTGTGACTGTACTTATGTTTTAGTCTATCGTGGCTCGCGTTATAAGACGAATCAATATGAACATTGTCGTACGTAAGATAAACATTTTTTGAGTAGGTTTCATTTTTTGCGACTCGCATTTAACGGTTATTTTGAATGTAACATTCCACTTCCCATGGTCACGCAGCGCCCTATCTGGTAACGCATGCTCGGGGCGTTACAATATCCGTTAAACACGACTGGCAAAGAATACAAATTACTCAAAAAATGCTTATCGTACATATGATAATGTGTATATCATTAGATTCGTAAAATACAAGTGATAAAATGGAGATGAACACACACACTCACATATATATAATATAACCCCATTCTCTCATGCACAATAACTTCAACCGTTAAAAAATTGCAAGAGGTGCTAAAGTTACGTGACTCATATGTATATACTATGTGAGATTAGCTGTTGAATCCTCACATTTCCTTTATTTTATAAACAAGGATTCTTTTTTACCAAATTCACGAAGTATTTGTCGATCATAATTATTTGTTTCACGATGTTAAGTTAAATTCACAAGAAAACTTGCCCAAATTCTGACTTTCAATTCACTACATGCATCAAAACTGTTCGCTACTAGTTCTCTACATTAGAGGAATGGAATGAAATGACATAACCCAACACCACCTAGATACTATATCTAGGTGGAACACCACCTAGACCATATATCTAGGTGGTGTTGCATAACCACACACTACCTGAACCCAATCTGAAATCGACCTTTCCTTTTCGCGGGTTTTGTTGTGTATTTGTTTCTTCCATGCTGCTCTCTGATTAGTCTTCGATAGAATTTTAGACATAAACTTAACGTAAAAGTTTGGTGCGTGTAAACTCTTTTAAGTTCATGGATTTACGTCTACGGTGAAGTCAAGGAGGTGTGAATCGTCTTCCTTGGTAACTCATTTCTAGGTGTTACGTTTACGTTTAAGTTTAAGTTTGCGTAGTGAATGGGGCGCATAGGAGGGAACTGAAACGTGCACAGTGGGCGTGTGCGATGATGACCGCACGAAAGTGCCACGCAAGAAGGACCGGGAAGGCATGGCGCAGTTGGAACACAACTTTGACGATGACTTACCAGTGCGGTTGCTCTTTCCGCAGTGCGTGCTGCCCTCTGGACAGGTCTTCACCAGCACGGGCAGATCCTGGAAGTCCTCCCCGCAGCGCGCGTCGCTCAGCGAACTGCACACGTAGCACTCTAGCGCCCACGCTGCACACACACAGCACACGATGAGCCAACTGTACCAAAGGCAACGTGCAAGATTCACGCCTGGTACACCAACGAAATTGAATACATAGCTATGCAGCACCCACACAGCTCACCCAACTAAACCAACTAGCTCTCTAGCGACCTCAGAGCACATCCATCTGCAGCAACTAGCTCTCTAGTGCGCGCACGCACATACACACACGCGCGCGCGCGCGCGCGGATACGCACGCACGTATGCACTTAGCGCATGATGTACCAACTACACCAAGGGCATTGCACACATAAATACAAAAATCCCTCGATATGGCACACGGTTCTCCAACGCCCACACAGCACCCCAGCTACTCCTATGACATACAACACAACACTCCAGCACCCACGGTGTACACTCAACTCAAGATACACACCCGGACACGAAAGAGCCGGAACGCATAGCTCTCCAACATAGTAATTCAGTGTCCGTGCTGCAGACATTGAACCAAGTGCATCAACATTACACGTACACGTGTACACAATGACCACATCGTTACACGCGTAGCACTTCAGCACACGAGTCAAAGATACAGCATACGTATCCCCTCCACCCCCCCCCCGTCCCGCCCCTCCAACTCCCCTCCCGTCGCCGTCCCATTTGCCCGTCCGTCCGATCATCCTTCGGCCCGTCCACCTGCCCGTGCGTCCGCCTGCCTGCCCGTCCCTCCGTCTGACGGTCCACGTCTCTGCCCGTTAGTCGATGTGCTCGTCTGTGGACAACGCTAGGCATTAACAGGATTTTCATCAAACTTAATACTCCCGGTTCAATCTGGGCGATGTCCCGGCTCAATGAATTTTAAAAACATACTTTGATTTTGAGGGGTTCTCTACATGAAGTTCCAAAGACATTTTCAAAATCTTGTCAAAAACGGATCAAAATAATTTCTTTAAATATTTTTCCAAGAGAAAATTAATATACAACAAACAATGTTTGTTCGTATAGTATGCGCATCTGTTGTGTTCTTCCGATTGCGATACTTTGTCAACGTAATTTTCGCACTTCTGACAAGAATATAGACACAGAAAAATGAAAATAAGCGTATGTCTGTCGCACATTGATGATTTTATGCGTTTATGCTGACTCAAGCGCCCCTGAACTCTACGCAACCCGCCGCACCCTCAAGTATTAAGCATATTCACTGCATATTCTGCACCTGCGATTGTGAAACATCGGTCGGAATTATTACTTGACCGATATCTCAGGCAAGTAAATCAAATTTCTTCAGGACAGTGTCATAGCGAATGCTTGCCCAAACTGAAGTGAGAACATTTTAACAAGACTTGACATGTCCAAACTAGGAAACAGAGCAAACCCAGAGAAACGCGAGAAAGTTTTTCGTAGCGTAAAACGCGATTAACAATCATGTTACCAGTTGCATGTGAAGTGTTATGTATTGCAATAGCGAAGCATTGCTTGGTCCACTAGTACCCTTATAAAAATGGTGCTGGTCCTATTTTTGTTGAATTAGTTTTCGAAAATTGAAACCTTTTTTTAGCGCCTTCCTACAAGTACAATTTTGAACATCTTGAAATCAATTTTTCAAAATTAAATCTTTAAATGTCATGCACAATTTTTTTCAAAATATGAGTTTTTGCGTGAAATTAAGGCAATTTTAAAATCAAGATTTTCAAAATAATTTTTTAAGGCACTGAATAACGACGTTATTTTTTACGAAATATTTTATTTTTTTCTAAACTGACATAAATGTATGTTTAAGTAATACGATAATAGTATGCTTAACCTTCAAACCTGATGTGGCACCACTGATACTAGTATTTGGTTGAGCATCATGTAGGTCGAATTATAAATTGAAGGAGCGTTTCCTAGGAGATCCTGCAGAATCACTACGTTTGAGAACATTTGCGCATTTATTAGCTGATATGTACGAATTTTTGGAAATTGTGTATTATTGACCAGTGTGAATTACCCGTACATCCCTTTTTAACGAAGGTGATTCATATGACGTCATTAAAAGACCTACGAAATGGATATTAATTACGATAAAAAATTGAGAGACTTTACTTTAGTACAAATTGCACATTAGCTGTCAAGAAAGGCATGTGAGAACATCGTGACAACATATTGCAAACACATGTGAACATCGGAGTGCGACACGGAAACATTGGATGTAAACCGGAAGTTCGGAGGTGACATCTGATACTCTGAGATATTAGGTCAGACTCCATAAGAATGAAATTATATTCTTTTAAATTATTCTTTTCTTAATTTCACAAATGCTGCTTTGTTGCTTAACATTTAACATCTTTCTTGTTCTATACATTAATGCTAACTTTATTAAAGTTTTCGTATTCCTTCTATCGAGTTTCCATTGAACACATCGTCACTGCCCGAGAAAAGTGACGCTTCTCAACTAGAGGCGATAAAACAGCGCGTAATTTCTCGCTCGCACTTTCACGCAAAATTACGCGAAAAGAACTCAAACCTTTGAAAAATTGTACTTGACCTTATTTCAAAATCTTTCTTTACGGAACAGATTTCATTCGGAGAAAAAATCTCTATCTTCATAATTGTAGTTCTAGGAAGACACCAAAAAAATTGGAATTTTTTCAATTGCCAAAAAATCAGTTTTCAACAAAAATGAGACCTGCACCCCTCTTAAACGTCCTTTACACTATCCAATAACAAAATTTAATTAAAAACGATGGAGCCATTTTTTGGAGCATTTTTGTCATTAGCAGTATTGTCAACTATCCTGATGAAATTTTTATTGTTCTTGAGTTGTAACACTTTTCTTGTGCACAATATATGAGCACTCTTGTCTTTTTTTGCCAATGCTGTGGACTTGCAAAGATTGACATTGAAGAAACGCTGAGTTAAGCCCTTTTTAACATGTGGACAGTAGCGGTTTCCTCACAAAAGCTATTTATTTAATATTGTAATTTGAAACAGAATAGTGTGTTCGTGAGTGAGAGGCAAGGAAGAGTAAAGGTACCAGAAGAAAATTTACAAAGGAAAGATGAGATGATTAGAGAGATAGACAAACACAGCGAGAGCGAAAGATAGAGGGAGAGAGGGAGGGAGACAGAGACAGAGACAGAGAGAGAGAGAGAGAGAGAGAGAGAGAGACAGACAGACAGACAGACAGACAGACAGACAGACAGACAGACACAGAGAAAGAGAGGCTTTCTCAAGTCGAGTTCAGGAAAAAGTTATCAAATTATCTAAGAGTTGTGGAGTTGTGGCGTCCTCACATTCTTTTATATTACACATCTTCAACTTTACATTTAAATTTATCAATTGTTCCTTCCACGAATTGCAGGTTATCCTGAAAACGTGGAGTGCAAGCTTCCAGTATTTTGCGTCTGTTATTTCCTGCACAATAAGCGAGGGGGGCGGAAAAGTGAGGACGAAACTTTACTGGAGAGCGGGAGGAAAGGAGTTGAAGAGACCTTAGCGGGGCGAGTTGGTGCGGAGCGGGACGGGACTTGACGGGAGGGGCAGCGCGTGGCGTGGCGGGACGTGGCGGGGCGGGGCGGAGTAGAAAAGAGCGGGCCAAAGTGTAGTGGGAAGGTGTGCACCGGAAAGAGGAGTGGCGGTGCAAGGCGAGACCCGCCGGGGCGGGGGGAGGTGGAATGGAACAGGGGGTGTAGAGCGGAAGGGGGCAAAGTGGAGTTGGGTGGGAAGGTTTTGTAGATTGATTAGTGATTCCAGACGCGTCAACGGCGAAGGTCATAGTCCCGTAAGTGTAGTGTATTTTTTTCACCGAGAGGTGACGGTGGTCTTCTGTGTAGGCTAGATACGGCGCTGACCTTCCCGTCGGCGAGCGGGGTTTTCGCCATGTAGGTATCTCCCACCAGCCAGGCACAACCTTTTAAGCTCCCGACCGGTTTCGCAGTGTGGGTGGTAGTGTAGTTCATGATAGTGTAAATGTAAGTAAGGGAAGAGGATAGAACAAGGAAGAAAAAATCACGCGCTCTCCATGGCCCATTTGTCAGGGTACTACTCCGGCATTCGTCTGGTGTTGATCGGAGAAACCACAGAAAACTATCGATCAGAGCAGCCGGCCGCTAGAATTCTCCTGCAGACAGCGACTGAATTCGACGTATCTGACAAGCTAGTGTCGAAAGTCCTGCTACCGTCAGGACTGTAATGTAAGACCTCCCGGTCAGAGGCACTGCAGTGACATCAGTTGGTGCCCTGAGCCACCTCTCCCGGTGTGACGGGGAGGGGCGAGGGGACGCGGGGCGGGGCGGTGCAACGCGACGGGCAAGGATTGGAGCGGGGCGGGATGGAGGGAGGCGAGGCGAGGCCTAGAGTCTCGCTGGAGGTCACTTACCAGTTGCTCTTAATGATCTTTTTTCCCTGTCTGCTTTCGCGGCTGCGTAAATTATACAAACATCTTGGCAGATGCCCCCGCTCCCCCGGGACAGAAGTCGGCGCTACCGTCAGTGCCTCGGAGGGAACGCCAAAAATTGTATTCTCAATTCAGTTTGAAACGCAAGAACACGAGTCGAAACTAGTGAGCCATTTAGTGACCGGGGTTTTCCCAAGACCTGACGTATAGTAATTGATAATATTGATTGATTATTTCGTCTTTCTGATCTTCTGTACCCGGTAAGAGGCACTGCAGTGACTTCATTTAATGCGCTGAGCCAACTAAACCGCTACTTTTTCTCATGATCAACGCCAAATTATTCCATGAAAATTTCATTATAGGATGTTTTACGCTCCTGTAAAATGCTCTTATAAGGGGGCCGACAAATTAGGAAAATGTCAAAAGTGTCTTTTAGGAGCCGATAGGTAGTAAACTGGGAAGAGGGGGGGGGACAATACTGACAACTAGCCCAAACAGATTAAAAAACTCACTAGTGCGAGAAAGTCTATTCCATTTTGTACCACCACAAATTACTTTCTCGTATACGTACGTATAAACGGAGTGATATACATAGTATAGAAAAAGTTATGTAATGCGAACAAAAGCGGATTTTCGTCACAAAAAAATTAA